CAAAAAATTCGGAAAAATTCCAGAAAATTACTGAAGCATAATTTAACCCTTTTGGACCTTCTTGAAGCTTCATAGCATTATTTGATGAATATTACATGGCTTTAAAAATATTTACAACTTGAAATACAATGGGAAAAATAAATTACATCATTGAACTTTCAAACGGCTAAATCAAAGCCTTAATTACATTCATCCAAAGATAAAATTACATTCAATATTCCTATAAGCTTCATCCATGGCCCAACCATACATCATCATTCATTCACAATTATTCATACATCATTATGTATCAATATATATTAACATATTAAATCATACATCAACATACATCAATAAAAATATATATGAATATAATTTTGGATCCATGAATGATGATTTTCATAAAATCATGATCTCTAGTAATGAATCAAACCATGCTCTGATACCACTGTTGGGAAACGTGCAAGTTTTAAAAACTTTTCGAGGGATTTTGATTCATAGATCTTGATTCATCACATAGAGATAAGTTTTATGCAAAAATAAAAATATAATGTATCATTCAATTAATGGATTGAATACTTACATCAAAGGTCTGAGTAAACCTTTAAAACTTTCCTCTAAAGTGAATGTTCTCACTTATTGTAGATCCCTTAGCAAGATGCCTTCTCCTTGGATCTCCATCTTCTTGGTAATTATTTTGCCTTTAGAAATCACTCATAAGCCTCCATGAATTACCTTGGAAAACTAGGCTTGTGGGAACCTCCATTAGATGAGAACATAAACCCTAATTTTCTAGAGAGAGAAAATTTATTCCTTTTTCCTTCTCATAAAAATCACCCCCTAAAATATACATAAACCATGTATATTTATAGGCAACATAAAAATAAAGAAAAGGAAACAACAAATCCTTCTCCATCTCTAATTCATATGTCTCAAATCTAATATGATTCAATATCAAGTTGGGCTATGAGTGAGAATCCATTGGGCCTATTATTTTATTGGCTACAATGAATTAATAATTGGCCCGGTCCATGGACCCAATTCAATTAATTCATAAATTAATTTCTACTCCACTAAAAGAAATTAATTGAACTCCAATTAAATAATAAATAACCTCTAAGTCAATATTGCACTTTGACCCCTCTATGCATAATTAGTTATCGGATAAATAATGCCATCAATCCGACTACTTAATTAATATATTTATTTTGGTACCTTTGATTATTTCTGGCTCGATCACAATAAAACATTTGTTCGACAAAAATAATAATTTAATAAATAAATATATAATAAATCATTTTGTCTAAAATCATACGAAGGCCTTCGAATTTACTTTGTGATCAACCATAATCAATACAAAATAAATACAAGTAGGAATGATGCAAATATGGAAAATATAACCCTCTAACTATTAATTACATAACTACCCGAAGTGTCGGTCTAAGGATCCCGAAGAATCCGCCGAACAAATCAAAGTAATTATTAATTAATAAAAGAATCTATACTTTTCTCATGCTTAAGAGTCAAATGCCATGACGGTGATAGGGAGTAATTGCATACGACGGCTCTCGCAATATATCTCAACCTAACGCGGATCCAGTTCAAGTCTTAATTAATTATGAGTCCATCCATAATTACCGACTATGAACAATTTATAATTATTATTTATATATCATGCATTGATTGCCATCACATACATATATATAAATATTTTTGTAATTACATGGACACTATCAATTTCATAGTGAATCGAAATATAATACATTGAATTCACCAATTGTATAAAACATAAATATTTCAGAAACGTCAGGAACATATGTCAATTAATCCAAACAGGAATTTGCTATGCCAGGGCATATAAATCCCAACAGGTGCAATGTTCCATAATCGAAGAAGAGAACTGAATGAATAATGAGTAATATTTGTGCGTGTAAGAAATATAATTGAAGAAGAGAATTGAATAAACAGTAAAATTTCGGTTGCCGAAACATAGAAGAGAATGGCCGGATAATTTCTTTATTGATAAAAAAGAGTTATAGGGGTAAGTGGAATTTGTTGGAGTGTCAATTTTCTTAAAAAAAAATTCTTATCCATCACCAATGAGTCATAGATCGACGAATGCCACGGATGCTTTGGAATCAAATTCAAGATTTCATGGCATTTAAAATGACATTGCAATGTTTGTTCAATGAATGAATATAATCATCATTAACTAAAAAATTGAAATTCCTTTGAATTCTATATACTATGTATTTTGGTTAGTGTTTTAAGGAGTTCGGCATTTTCCAAAACCATTTAGGAAGTTGGATTTGTTTTTGTTAACAACTAATTTAAGAGATAAGTCACGTGAGTGTTTCAAATTCTCACTATTATAAGAGTCTTGCTATTTGACCCGATAAATAAAAACCTACTATTTTACCTAGCCTATATGGCTATTCATGTATCAAATATAACGGGATCCACCTTAAAATATATGGTAATTAACTATTTGAAAAGTTGTCATTCCTTTTTTAGGTATATCTTAATCTAGTATACAGTTTCAACCACCATGTATATGTATATTTGTCTTATACTTCAAATTGCATCTGTATTTCAAATTATATCTTTGATCATTAATATCCATCTATTATTTTGATAGGCATTTTTTAATTGTTATAAGAGCTTCTTCAACCGTTGTGTATATATTTTTGTGTAAATCTGATGGGTCAAAGTAGATATACACAAAAAATTTGTACTATTTATTTTTAGCTTCAGTGGTTGTTTTATACTTTTTGTGTAAAAAAAATCCCCCAATAACAACCAACCACGTATCATACCCAAAGCCCTACGTAATTTTTTACAAACCTACTTGATCCACTTTACTTTTTCGCAATTAAACCTCACGTTCCAATCCTCCTTAATTAGGAAAAAAAAAAAAAAAAAATTTCCCCTATATTTCACTTTTTCATCCCGCCAATAGCAAACATTTCCCGCCGCCGCTGCCAGAATTATAACTTAATAACAAATAATAAAATAAGATTCAAGTATGTAGAAACTACATAATCAAAGGTTTTATATCAACAATTATATAAAAACGTGATTAAAATATATATTTAATATTTGGCTAGCTAATACATATTTTATCTCATTAGAATAAAATGTAAAAAGATAAAAAATCTAAAAATACCCTAAAATCTAACAAACAAAAGTGATGATTGTTAAAGATAAGATCAAACAAAAGTGATGAATCAAACTATGTTTATTAAAAAAAAAAATTAATAAAAGATGGTTGAGCAGTTTTTACCTTGCTGCTAGTTACAGACTCTTCTTTATGGCGCTTTATAAAACTGGGAACAAAGAGGGAATGAGAGAGAAGAAAGAGAACCGTGAGTGGGAAAGAGGGAAGAGAAAGAAAATATGCTTACGTGGCTGTGTAAAAGGTCAGTGTAAAATACACAACCCTTTTACACATTAGTGATGTTGCAGTGTATCTTAACAGACTGCTGGAGATGAAAAAAAACTATAAATCATATGTGACAGTGTATATTTTACACAAAATGATTTATTAATATACTGTTGTAGATGCTCTAATTATCAAAGCTAATGATCTATATTTGACTCTCATAAAAAAAAAAAACAATAAGAATTTTTTTAAAAAAAGAATTGCAAAGTGTGAAAAAATTATAAAAACATTGCAATTTTTATTTTAGATGTTGTACAAATTAAATTATTAAATTTGAGTACCATGAAACTTGCTCTGAAAACGAAAAAGAAAATGATACGGCTATGGAGAACTAGAAAAATAAGGAAATGGGTTATAGAAAAGTGAAAAGATATGGAAAGGGAAAGGAATGTATTTTATGGAAACAAACCATAGTAGTAATTATGCCTATTTAAGTTAAAATATTAAAATATTTTTATGTCTGTCGACTTTAAGTCAGGATATTAAAATCTTCAATAATATCATTTTTTCATAAAACATTTTAAAAGAAAAAAAGACTATTTTTTTTCTAACACCAACAAGAATCTTTCTTTGCAATGGTTGTGGACTTCTTTGAAAATAAAAAAATGAATAATATTTGCCTACTCATGAAAAGTGCCCATTCTCCTTACCATTGATGGCACAACACGTGTCCAAAAAGACAATACTTATAGTGAGAAATAAAAATATACAGTGTGCACGGAGCTAGACTAATTTGAGTTCGTTTGTTATGTGTGCGCGCCGATATGTGTTGTGCATGTACAACTCACATAATATTTACTCACCGGTTAGGGCTTATATATTATCTTCATTGCACATGTGACATAGTCTTGTTGTGTCACACCATCTATTAATCTTTGATGGTTAATGAAAAAAAAAAAATCAAAACTCAGGTGGGATTATTTTATTTTTGAATGATAATATTTTATTTCATTATATATGAATCATGATTTGTTATAAGAAGATTGTACTACATAAGAATGATAATAAGAGACGAAAAATTAAACATCATTTTATTATTTTGACGTGCTTTAAATTTAAAATAAATACGTATTATACTTTCATTGTTATTTTATTATTATGTCACAAGAATGAAAAAATAGAATTTTCTATTCACATGTGAAGAGACAAATATTGGGAACAAAAACAACGCCTTATTTGAGGAAGTCCAAAAAGTTTGGGGACAAATTGAAAATATACCAAAACAATGGTACCAAAAATATTAATGATGGAAATCAAGGGCCGGAAACACAAAAAAAAATAAAATAAAATAAAATAAGTTCCCATGGATTAGGGTTTCGTTCCGGTCCTTTATATATATAGGATAATTGCAAAAGAGTTTCGCAGAACAGAGGCGTTAACGCGTTTTGAAGAGCTAGGGTTTCAAAATTCCGCCTCCTTTCTTAATTTCTATAATACCAAGCTCAGAATCTCCAAATTCTTAGCTTTTTGTGTGTGTAAGTTCTTAGTTATTCATGTGTGTGTGTGTGTGTGTGTGCGTGTCAGTGTGTGTGTGTATATATATATTATATAATGATGTAATGTGAGAGGTGCCTTCATAATCCCAGCTAAGCTAAAGAGTATGGTGCTTATCTGATTCATGGGAGGCCAATAGAAATTATGTGGAAGTTTCGCTGATAACGCCATTATTATTATCACAAAATGGTGTATACTAGTAGCTTTCCATACATTTCCAAAGTGTTTTCTTTTTTATTTTCTTTTTCTTTTTTCTTGTTCTTTCAAACCCTGAAGTTCAGTTCTTCAATAATTTTTTGTTAATGTCTCTATGCATGTGCCTATTCTCTTGCCAAATAAATACCCCTTCCGACTCATTGCTGATTTTTTTTACCCCGAAATTATTATTATTTTTTTATTTTTAAATTGGAAATTAAGGCACTTAATTTATGTGAATTATATCATTTTGTTTTTCTCACATAAAATACATATTTGTTGTGTTGGTCACATGGTCGGATTTTACATGGTGCATGTCACAGTCCAAGACCGGCCACATGAGTCAAGCTGTCATAAGTCTATACATTGACTGGTTTCATTTTTTAATTTTTTTTTTTGAAAATGTAAACTAAATAAATTTTAGATAATTTTTTTAATTTTCAATTAAAATGGCTTTAACGGCCATAAATTTCTAAAACAAAAAAGGGTAACAAGTTCGAGTGATTGACAAAGGGTCAAAAGGTCACAAGTCAAAGTACATTTCTGTTCTGAAAAATTGCATAGGACAGTCCGTCGTGCAACGTGTCAGTAGCCTATTGGCTGCTGACTTTTTCTAATTTTATTATTTCCAGTTTTTGGAGCTGGTTTTTTTATTTACTTTTTTTTAAAAAAAAAACAATTATAGAAAGGAAAAATAGACAGTAAACAATTACAGCAGTGCCAAACTTTTGAAGAAAGCAAAATTCCTTTCATTTTCATTTTCACAAAACTGGTAAAACAGAGTCCCACAGTCCCACTCTTCTTGCATCGCAGCCGTGGTATCTGCCTCAAATTGTTTAGCAGTCACAAGGTTGTTCGGATCAGATTCTAGGTAGGGATCAGATCGGGAAGCATAAGATTGGAATGGCAGCCTACTTTACCGTAGGCCCCACACAAGTCAAACCCGAGCAACTCGATTCTTGCCCGAAAATTTTATTGGAATAGGAAATGTTCTTGAAACCTCGGGTTGGGATTGAATTTAAATGTTAGAATCCAAATTTATTTTGGACAGGATTTTATACTTAGTTTTTACCAACCCTAACAACCCGAAGTACAAGAAAAGTATATAATTTTTATTTTTTTAATAATAAGCATAGATGATTTAATATTATTTGGTTGTGCTAAAAAAGAGAATAATATTGTTTGGTTGATTTATGTTCTTTTTATTTTAGGACAAATTACATTGACACTCTATCAAGTTAGGTCAAATTTCATATAGGTGGATATTTTGATTTTAAATTGCACTCACATATTGAAGAAGAGTTTGATTCGTATTCCACTTACATTCTAAATATCACTTTTCAAGTTGTCACATATTTTAATTGAAATTTCGCTCACATCCGAAATATCACTTTTCAAAATTATTAAATTATTTTTTACATACAAAATAACCACGCTTACCTTGACTTAGACTCACAAAAATGGTATTTCAATTTTTTCATCTCTCTCCTCTATATCTAATTTCTCATTGCAAATTTCAACTGACCGATCTTGATCTCAACTACTATTAAGAAGCAAAACAGACCAGTTTCTTATGGTGCTGCTACAAAGCACTACAACTGTTGCAGATCCATCTCTTCCCGTCCAGATATTTTGTAGAGAGGAGAAAGAGAGAAAGAGAGATTTAATGTCTGAGTTTTAATATATTATTATATAGGGGCATTTCTATCATTTAAGTTTATACATATTTTATATTAAATTATATTAAAAAAAAAGGGAGGTAAATAGGTCATTTCTATGTGTCCGGATCCAAAAACTAATTTAAGGTGTAATTAAAAATTAAAATCAAAATATTTATCTATGTGAGATTTGATCAAACTTGAGGGAGCAGTGTAACTTGTCCTTTAATTTATGTAAGTGTACATAGTTATACTTTAACAATTTTTTAATATTTATTTATTAATAGTAGGATATCACAATTTGGGATGACCCAAGGGATCTTAAAAAACCCGTGCGATGTGCGGGTTAAGACATGATATGGTTGCTTAGGAGTCGGGACTTGAGCTTGGCTCGAGCTAAGGTGTTAAAACCTTAGGTTTCATGTGGGTTAATCCCTTAGCCTGCCCAATCCCACCCTAACAACCTGACATATGTGAAAAGTTTTATGATGCGTTTGGTGTGTATGAATGGAATGTCCATTTCAACCATTCCATTATTTAGTATGCAATTTAAAATGAGAATGATCATTCTATTGGAATGAAAATCGATTTTACAACTAAACCTATGAAATGACCATTTCATTCCCAAATAATTTTTTGTTTTTAAAAATAATTTCCCAAAAACACTCTCATATTCCAAATTCAAAAACCACCATTATTTTCCACCACAACCACCTCCACTACCACCGCCACCGACTTTCACCACCTTCCTTTGCCTCAACCACCACCGCTACCGCCATCACCTTTCACCACCGCCACTACTTTTCACCACCACCGCCACCGCCTTTCACCACCACTGCCATTGCCTTCCACCACCACCACCATCTTTCACCATAGCCAACGCCTTCCACCACCACTGCTGCCATCGCTTTTCACCATCACCCCCTTCCGCCACCGTCGCCGCCTTCTACCACCGTTATCGCCTTCCACCGCCGCCATTGCCTTCCACCATCACCACCTTTATCGCCACTGCCTTCCACCACCACCGCCATCGCCTTCCACCACCTTCTAGCACCACCACTGCCACCGCCTTCCACCACTGCCACCACTTTCCACCACCTCCATTGCCTTCCACCACCGCCATAATCACCTCCATTGGCTTCCACCACCGCTACCTACACCATTATCTCCTTCTACCACCGCCGCACTACTACTGCTGCCTTTCACCAACACCATTGCCACCGCCGTCGCCTTCCACCATCGCCTTCTACCACCAACACTTCCACCTCCACAGCTTTCCACCTCCACCACCATCGTCACCACAACCACTGCCACCATTTTTTTTTAAAAATGTCATTTTGTTAATTAATTTATTTGTTATTAAGAGGGACATTTTGGATAACTCAATTAGAAATTTATTTCATTCTAAATTTTAAATTATCCAGCCAAACAGAATGATTATTATCATTCTATTTTTACATATTTCATTCCATTCTCATTCTCATTTTATTTACATTTGTAGTCTATTTTATTTCTGCACATCAAACACATCATTAGAATTTTTAAAATTGTATGAAGTGAAGTTGAGAAGTTTGAAAGATTCTAAAATATTAGATTGTACTTATATATAATTGTAGAAAGTACAGATTATTTTGGAATGGGAGAGAATTTTTAATGGACAGCCATGAGGCCTATAAATAGATGTGATATTCATTTGTAATCAACAAGTTCAAATATGGGTGAGATGCTCCAAGAGTGAAAGATTTTTGTATTACAATGGAGTAGTAATAGAAATCTATCATTCTACCATATTGAAATTGAATAGTAATAGAAGTTTATTATTTTACCATGTGAGTCAGAGGAGATGTACAGTTATAGACCATAAGCCTAACGGTTCAATCTTACGCCATCTTTAGTCCATTTTAATTTAAGAGTGTTGTTTATGAGAAATAGTAATTTTTAAGAGACATGCGGGACATATATTGCTTCCTTGCATATTTAAATTTGAAATTTAAAACTTAAAGATGTGAATTATATTATTTTGAAACAGAGGGAATAATAAATATGTTTTCTGTTGGTCCACCTTGCAAATTAATAAATATGTTTCTGCAAACATCTCCAATCCAATATTATTATTATTATTATTATTATGATTATGTAATTAGAAGTTTGGACTATTTGGTATTGGCAGAAAAAATAATTTTAAAAAATTAAACGAGAGAAGTTATGATAGGTGTGACCAACACTATTTTATCGAACAAATAAAAAAATAATGATCACAATGGTTATGGAAAAAGAAAAAAGAAACTATTTGATTTTATGAATGCTAATCGCATATAAATTATAATAAAAATAAAGATAAAAAATAAATAATCAATACTCACGAGTCACTACCATTACCTCGATCTCACACCTACATAGTCTATCACCACAAAACAAAATTTCCCTCCCTCATTTTTTATCATTCAATGAATGACGAATCCCCTTTAATTCATCATTTATTGCATCAATAATTTTTCCTTTTTTTCTCTTCACTTTCAATTCTTTTCATCCAAACAGCAACAATGCATGGAAGAGGAGAAAGCCCACAATCCCATGTCCGGAAATACAAGTGGAGTATTAAAAAGAGGCCAAAATTACCACAAAAATCTCATCAATGACCCACCACCAGTGTTTCGTAAATTAAGGGTTGCCACTCTCATCTCACATCATTATACTATATATCCTTCCACCGTAACTCTCTATCTCTCTCTCCTAATTGTATCTATAAGCTTTTTCTCCTATATCTATATATAAATCCTATATATATATATATAGTTATATCTACAATCTCTTCTTATTTTTCCATCCCTGCATTCATTGCTTGGAGCCAGCAGGTAACTTAATTCACCTCATCTATCTCAAATTTATATGCATGCACCATCCCATTGTTTGCAAGTTAATTTGATCTTACATGATAAATCTTTTTTCTTTCATGTATGTATATGTGTGTTTGTAATATATTGTATTTGACTTTGTAATTTGATCAGGTTAATTCAGCTGATTATATAGCTTGTGATTTATATATATATTTGGATTTTTGTGTGTTTATGCTTTCGAGATTCTTTTGGGATTGGAAAATTGAGGCCTATTTGTTTGTTTGTTTGATTGATTACCAAGTGGTTTTTGCGTGTCAATGTCCTATATGAACTATGTTTATCACTATATTACTTCTAGATTTGATCAAGAAGAAAAGAAGAAAAGAAGAAAAAAAAAAAAAAAAGAAAACCATTTGGGGCGAGGTAAAAAAAGAAAAAAAAAAAAAAGAGCCACCTTGCCATTGTTTCATAAACAAGAACTATACCGTTAGCAATTCATCTCTTGAATTTGCCTTATTAAGTTTATGGATCAAAAAGGCAAAGAGATGTAAAATCAATGCGGGCCTTTCACAACACTCTTTTTGCTCACACCCAGTCTCGAACACTTCCTCTCGTCTTTGAGGAAGGAGAGATTATACCATTGGGCTAGAGGCCCGTTGCCTTAGATATCGATAAGCTAATTGTGAAATTTACTTGCCGGTCCCGTTTATCCAATACCTCACAAACCATTCATTAGGTCAATATGATCCGATTATTTATGTTTTATATTGAAAAGCCATCAAATTGTATCATATGCTCCTACTATTCTATCTATTGAGAAATTTTTTTTTTGGAAGTCTATATGTACCACTTTCTTGTCAACAATACGGTGTTTCTTGTTCCTGCTCAATGATCTATAGGGTGTTGAATTATCAGATTGAATTGGCATTTTGTTGGGTGTCTTTTGGAACAAAAACTGTTAATTAATACATGGGCTTTATTCCTGGAGATTTTAGATAAGCTTTTTGCTGATCGTTTTGTGTCGACTTTGTGCATAGCAGAACACTATAGTCCCTCTTTGTGCTCATATACTTGTGACTTCCTTCGGATTTTACTTGGAAGTTGCTTCTTCTCCAATGACATTCAAGAATTACATAAATCATACTGTTACTGCACTAATTTATCTCCCTCTACTTTCTTCTATACAATTATTTTGCGAATAATATCTCTATAACTTAAATTTAATGTTCTACTTATAGGAAATATGATTAAGATTTTCAAGGAGAAGGAAAAACAGAGGGCAGCAGAAGCCAAAGTCGCGTTACTTGTTAAGAAGGAAACTGCAGCAGAATTATGTCTTAATAGAGGTTTTTTCTGCCTTGTGCATATTAATAAATTTTAATTATCTCAATTTTTTTCCTGGAGTTGTCTTAAACTATGGTTTTGAGGTATCTCTCTGCTTTAAAATTTTTATAAGGCATCGGAGAATATGTATAAAGCTGCAGCCCCTATTTAAATATTCTTGTTCATGTCCTTTTCTTTCATGAAGCCAGTTAGGTTGCAATGTGAATGGACTGATAGAGAAAGTTGGTTCTTGTATGAGAAATTAATTAGTCTACGTTTATACCTTCAGTAGATTTAAGTACTTGATATTACATTTATTTTAGTGTTTCTGATCTTGTAGATATCAGTGAACTGAACCTACCAGCATGTTGTAGCATAGAATTTGTGGATGGCAAGGATAACCTGATGAACTTTGAGGTCACAGTTAAGCCTGATGAAGGATACTACACGTAAGTAATCTTGTGAATTATAAGTACTGAAGGTCATTGGAACCTACTGATCATATGAGCAACCTGCATGACACTGTGTGTCTGTGTGTGTGCAGTACTTATAATCCTTGAGTTGGGCACTATTTAGTGTCCAATTGGTTTGTCACCCAAAAAACAGTTCTAAAAATAATTCTCAAAAACTGTCAACCGAGCAGGTTTTTGTATCGTGGTCCTAGCCACGTGTGTTGTGTGCCACGAGTCTAATAATGGTGCTCAAGAATGGCATTCCTGAGTCTAAATGCTAAACAGATTCAACTCAAAGAAAGCCTTGTTCCAACTATTTGAGGTTCACTCTCAATGTCTGATATTCTCTTTTTTTATGTTGTTCTCTTGTAACAGAGGTGGTAAATTTGTATTCTCTTTCCAAGTTCCTCCTGTCTATCCTCATGATCCACCAAAGGTCAAGTGCAAGACCCAGGCAAGCAATCGCGTCTTCTTTACTAAAATGGCTATGAAAATCTCTTGATAATGGTGTTAGGGCATGTAACTGGCATTTTAAACAGCACATTTTACTTGCAGACATATCATCCTAATATCGACTTGGATGGAAATGTGTGTCTTAACATCCTACGAGAAGACTGGAAACCTGTTCTTAATATAAATACTGTAATATACGGACTACTAAATCTTTTCACGGTAATCATTTGTACTCTGTTACAAATGGATCGTTCCAATTTAAGGTGTGTAGTATACTTACAGTTTGTGTGTGGATATGCATTTGTGCAGCAACCTAATCATGAAGATCCCCTCAATGAAGATGCTGCTAACGATTTGAGAGATGATCCGAATAAATTCGCGGAGAATGTGAAGTATTCATTGGAGGGTGGCATTGTGGGACACACCTACTTCCCTGGCTGCATGGACTAGAAAACTAGCACGGATTGGATCGAATTCACAAATTCACGAATCAAATGAACACCCCCTAAATCCCTGCCTTTGAGCATCTCCTTCTGTGCCAAAGCATTTGTTGGAGGGATTGTTGCAATAAGGTGAAGAGGTCAAGACTTTCAATCAAAGGAGAGAATGTTTCAAAGTCCAGAGTAGACCAATTTGCCTTGAATGGAAATAATTTTAAGACATTTCCTACCATGAAAATTAAAATGTAGATGGTAGTGGATGCGTTAATTGAGACATTTCACACAATGAAAACTATTCATTCATGCACAGGTGCAATAAGATTCTAAATAGAGCGGGAGAATGAATAATATTTGATTTCTATTCCCCTTTTTTTCTTTAAATTCATACCAAAGTTTCACTCAGAAGTACCAACAAATTGCATAATTCAAGAAAATAAGCCAAACTTTTGAAGAAAGCAATCCTTTTCATTGCATATTCACAAAACTTGTTGCCACCTCTTTTTGCTTCTCAAATAACATACATACATATCTTAGAATTTTTTTTATTCAAACTTATACAAACCTGTCATCTGCATTTAATCCAAATGCTACATGATCATATGTAATGGATTGAAAATCACCGTGTTAAAAAAAAAAAAAAATGTAACGCCTCCTCTCAGGCGGTGCCACATAAGCGCCACCTAGTTAGCCCAAGTGGCTCACAGTCAAAGTTGATTAAAAAAATCATAAATGCCACAGGATAAGAATAGTGAAATCCTACAATATTAGTAGAAAAAAAATTAAACTAAATTTTAAGTACAAAATCTTTACAACAGATAGAGAATAATGTGCGCACACACATTTCCAACAATGAAAATTAAGAATCAGACGGTCGTGGATGCGTTAATTTAGACATTTCGTACCATAAAAACTGTTCTTGCACCGGTGCAATAAGATTTTGAATAGAGAGAATGAATAGGTATTTGATTTAGATTTCTTTTTTTCTTTTTTTTTTAATAACATTGAGGTTATTTTTGTAATTTCATATAGAGTGTATTTTGGTCATCAAATGGGTGTTTGTACTTTGAATGAGTTGGGGGTATTTTGATAAATTTTGTAGTAAAGGGCACTGATGGACCCAAAAAATTTTGTGAGGAGAAGCGGCGTTTTAATTTGTGAGTACAAAATTATATGATTGGTTCATTTTTGTAATTTTAATAGAGTTTTTTTTCATAAATTTTTAAAAATGTAAAGTATAAAATGAAAAAAAAAAAAAAAAATCAGTGGAGCAAATTATAATTCTAGTAGGGGCATCTTCATAAATTATCAAAATTTGAAGTATAAAATGTTAAAAAAAAAGAATCTAATGGGGTCGAATTGTAATTTTAGAGGGGGCATTTTCATAAAACTTTTAAAAATTAAGATATAAAATGAAAATATTAAAATAGGAGGGCATCCCCCAGCGCGCCGGTCGGCGGTCCCATGCTGGGTCCGTGGCCGGTAACGGGTTAGTGTATTATTATTTTTTATTACTTTATTACTATTACTATTATTATTATTATTATCGGGCACACCAGCTAAGGAAGTTGGGTGTTTTACCAACTAAGCCGCTGAATAATGTCCGACATTTATATTATCTAAATATAAATTCATTAAGGATTTTGTAGTTAGCATTTTTTTTTGTAATTGTATTGTCCAAATAATTCATATTTTCATTAATTTACTTGTCTATTATCTCAATATTTCATTATATTTGCATTTTTATAATTAAGTTAACAAACAGTTACATAATCCATTTAAGTTAGAAAGGTTAAATAGGTTATTAAATGACTCGTTTATTAAACGGGTTAATTACATAAGTGTGTTACCCGTTTAATAAATGGATTGTGTTCAGGTCGAGGGTCTTTGACACGATTATTAAATGGGTCATTTTCAAATTGACTTATTTAACAAAATACTCATAGATCGACATGGTACGATTATGATCTGACAACACGGATTGTCACTCTTGAATAATTGAGTAATTGAATTAAAAAAAAATGCAAATTGATTTTTATTAATATTGTAATTAGTTGATAAGTTTATTATTCAATTCAAATACTTTGTACATCTATAAATACCAATTATTGTAAGTGGACTTTTTAAATTTCCCTTCTATTTTCGTCTCATTTTGTGTCAAATGCTTTTTTTTTGGGCATGATATGTCCGTGATTGGCTGGGACACCTAATAATTTCTCCAACCTATAAATGTTGAAAAATATAGGGTGCCATATGTTATTATTTAATCTTAAACAAGCTTTATTCTAATATGAGAAGCAAGATACAATTAATTAAAATCTAATATGCTCAGTAGAATAATTTATTAATTTATATCTCTTTGCGTGTCTCTCGTTATACAGCGATCTCTATATCTATAATACATCAGTAACAATATTTTAAATCTATATAGTACGGATACGGACACATTACGACACGAATACGTCGACACGTTAAATTTTTAAAAAATAAGACACAGATATGACATAGATACGACTACATATAAATATAAATTTTTATTTTTATATATTTATTCAGCAATAGTATTATAAAACTTTTATTCATTTATAATTTCTATACTAAGAGTTACTATGAAATGAATTAGAAAATGAAATTATGTCATTATTATAATGATTTTTATATCATATATATCATTATTTCACTATTTTACTGGATAGACTTATGTTAAAAATGTTTCATATGTATTGGGAAAGTATCCGAAATAATAAAATTATTTTTTATTTATGGACACGTATATGAAGTATTGGACACGTATTCAAAGAGTGTCCTAGGAGTGTTAGTGTCCGACATGAATACGATTCTTTAGTAAAAGTGTCCATGCTTCTTAATGTCAAACCAATAGGTTCAGCTAACCAAACACCATGGACAAAATACTAATTCAATTACAAATATAATTAGTTAAGATTTGATCAAACATTAGATTTAGACCCACCAGAGACCATAAGGCTTGAATCCACTTGAACTGGGTTCACGTTGTTTGTTTGATGACAGAGGGAGAGAAGTATACTTTAATTTGAGAAATAATTTTACAAATGAGCAGCTTGGGTATTTATAGACCAAGAGGTAACTTTGGTTCAACCCGAACAAATATTGGGGGCAATGGTTGAGTCCGAACCATCATAAGTCATAATGGTTCATCCCAAACCAACACACCGCTTATCCATTGGCAAGAAACCGTCCACCCACCCGCGATTCGGATTTAACAGCCATCTGCTGGGCTGAGCCGCTCCGTTTTAGGTGGGCTGAACCGAACTCCTTTAGGTTTCAGGAAGTTTGAACATAGTTAAACCCGAATATGGACTAGGTCCATAAAGTTGTAACCTTCATTTACACCTTGCTAACTTCCCACGTGAGACAAGTTACCCAAACATCCATTTCAATTTTTTTATTTTTTATTTTTTGCAACCAAGGGAAGAGGGAATGAGAATACGAGCACACTTGTTTAGAAAGCTGTATGGTTGTAATTTAGGCGAGTTGTATAAGTTTGAAATATAACTTGAGCCCAGCCCATCATTATATGAAATGCTAAATCCAAGTCTAACCCTAACCCTATCATCAATCTTAACTACTTAAACCGAATTCAACCCATCCTTCTACTTTTAAATTTGGGCTTAGATTCGGTTACTTATATGGTTAATTTTTATATCGAAAATTTAATATGATCTTGAATTAGTTTTTAATTAAATTACTCTTACACAAGAAGAAGTTTAAACACATTTTGTATATTTTTAATAAATTACAAACAAATTTTTAGAAAATTAATTCTCCTAAATGTTAACGTACAATAAGTTAAAGATTTAATAAAAATGAAGTTGAAAAGAAAAAAAAAAAATTATAGTTTAAATATTATATATAATGTATTTAAAAGTAAAAATATATATGAAAATAATATTAAAATTCGGATTCAAGTTGGCTCGGGTTGCTAACACTTTATTCCAAGTCCGACCCTAATTAAATTCGGGTTAAAAATTTTTAATCCAAACTCAATCCTAATGGTAAAATTGATATCCAAATTCGTGAAAAATTAGACTGAGTTCAAGTTGAATCCGGATTGCCCGAACCAAGTTACACCGTGTAGCGCTGAGACTTGTAATATGATGATGTGTGATATAGGAGAGGCAACCCGTGGTTTACGTAACAGTGGTGGTGTGTCATTGACGAGCTTTTTGTTGTAATTTTGGCCCTTTTTAACACTCAACTTGTATTTCTGGACATGTCTCTCTCTCTCTCTTAAATGCGTCTGTTAGCTCTTTCTCCCCATATGTATATATTAGTCCATATCTCTATATCTATAATCCCTTTCTATTTCCCATCCCTGCGTCCATTGCTTGTAAAGAGCGGGTAATTTAATTCATCTCATCTATCTAAAATTTCACACACATACATATCTGTATGCACCATCCCAGCGTTCGCATCTTATTTTGATCTTACATGATAAATCTTTTTCTTTCATGTATGTATATGTTTTTGTGTAATATATTTTATATGACTCTGGAATTCTTGTGTGTTTATATGGTTTTGTGATTATCTTTGAAGTGGAAAATTGTTGCCTGTATTCTCCTTCTTTCTCGAATTGTTTATCTGCTTTTGTTTGGGTAAGTAAATTGTTTATTTGTTTGTTTGTTGATTACCATGTGTTTTTTTGTGTGTAAATGTCCTATATGAAGAATGTTCATTACTATATATCACTTCTAGATTTGATTAAGAAAAAAAAAAAAAAACTATTTGGCATAGAAGTTGCTAATCATTTTGTGTTGCTTTTGTGCATAGAAGTATTCTTTGTGCTCGTATCCTTCAGATTTTCTTGAGATTTTATTTGGAAGTCGCTTCTTCTCCAATGAAATTCGAGAATTACATAAATCATGCTGTTGATGCATTCATCTTTATCCCTCTATTTTCTTCTTTAACAATTATTTTTTTGTGAATTAGTCTCAGGATTAACTTATATTTGATGTTTTATTGTAGGAAATATGATTAAGATTTTCAAGGAGAAGGAAAAACAGAGAGCAGCAGAAGCCAAAGCGGCGTTACTTGTTAAGAAGGAAACTGCAGCAGAATTATGTCTTAATAGAGGTTTTTTCTGTCTTTTGCATATTAATGAATTTTAATTATCTCAATTTTTTTCCTGGAGTTGTCTTAAACTATTGTTTTGAGGTATCTCTCTGCTTTAAAAAAATTTTAAGGCATCGGAGAATAATGTATAAAGCTGCAGCCCCAATTTAAATATTTGTGTTCGTCTCCTTTTCTTTCATGAAGCGAGTTAGGTTGCAATGTGAATGGATTGATACAGAAAGTTGGTTCTTGTATGAGAAATTAATTAGTTTACGTTTATAACTTCAGCAGATTTAAGTACGTGACATTACGGGTATTTTCGTGTTTCTGATCTTGTAGATATCTCTGAACTGAACCTACCAACATGTTGTAGCATAGACTTTGTGGATGGCAAGGATAACCTGATGAACTTTGAGGTCACAGTTAAGCCTGATGAAGGATACTACACGTAAGTAATCTCATGGATTATAAGTACTGAAGGTCATTGAAACCTACCGATCATATGAACAACCTGCATGACACTGTGTGTGTGCCTGTGTGCACGCCGTGTGCCACAAGTCTAATTATGGTGCTTGAGAATGGCATCCGTGCATCTAAATGCTTAACAGATTCAACTCAAAGAAAGCCTCATTCCAACTATTTGAGGTCGACTCTAAATGTTTGATATGCTCTTTTCTATGTTATTGTCTTGTAACAGAGGTGGTACATTCGTATTCACTTTCCAAGTTCCTCCTGTCTATCCTCATGATCCACCGAAGGTCAAGTGCAAGACCATGGTAATCAGTCGCATTCTGTTCGCTAAAATGGTTCTTCTCTCTTGATAATGTTGTTAGTGCACGTAACTGGCAGTCTAAACAGCACGTTTTTCTTGCAGACGTATCATCCTAATATCGACTTGGATGGAAATGTCTGCCTTAACATTTTACGAGAAGACTGGAAACCTGTTCTTAATATAAATACTGTAATATATGGACTATTAAATCTTTTCACGGTAATCAGTATACTCTTTTACAAATTGATCGTTGCAACTTAATGGACCTAGTATATTTACAGTTTTTGTGTGCCCGTTCATTTGTGCAGCAACCTAATCATGAAGATCCCCTTAATCAAGAAGCTGCTGATGACTTGAGAGATGATCCAAATAAATTCGCGGAACATGTGAAAACTGCAATGGAGGGTGGCTATGTGGGATACACCTACTTCCAAAGCTGCGTGTAAAAGCTGCTTGTACAACATTTACCAAATTCCTTGCTCAAAGATTGCGTAAGATAAGTTCGTGATATTGGCTTATAAGGAAGTACTATTATCCTCTCTCTCAAAGAAATATTATGTGAAATGTTCATATGACCTCTCTCTATATCTATGTTATTGTTGATTTTGATTTTTTGTTTCTGTTTTCTACCATATCTGGCGTTCCTATATTTTGTATATTGGTTGTGTCATTGTGACTAAAAAGTAACACCAAAGTTGAGATTTATTTTCAATGTAATTTTTGTATATAAGAGAGCTTATGGGTTCAAGTCTCCATTAGGGCACAGTGAGGGTGTGTTTTGCTCACGTGACGTGAGGAACCGGGAAAAAAAAAAAAAGACAAAAAAAGAAAAAGAAAAAGTCATAAGAATCATGGTATTAAAAAGCACACGCCATAAGAACTACGTGCAAAGAGTTGCACGAGGGAACACCAACCACAACTTGATTATATATGTTCATGAGTAAATTCCAAACCATATACACCTTTTTTAACAAGACCAGGGAAAAATCGAAGAATAGAAAATCAAGCCAACGAAAAAGAAAGAAAAATGACGAACTTCTCGGCTATTTGAATTCTATCAACACCACTAACCAAATTCTATCGACACAAGGAATGCATATACCATACAGAGTGTATATACTTTGAATGAACAGAAGGAACATTTAGAGACACTTAACTGGGCTAGCTAATGCGGTGATCACGCTTGGCTGAGAAGCGATGAGAAAATCTCTTAACTATCGTAGCCATGTACTTTCCCTGATGCTCTGCAAGTGCCAGCTCCGTTTCACTTGGTTCTCTCGTGCCATCCCCAGAAAAAACTCCTGCACCATAGGGAGAACCCCCTCTAATGGAGTCCATTTTGAACATTCCAGCTCCAAATGTGTATCCAATTGGAACATACACCATACCATGGTGCGCTAGCTGCGTGATTGCTGTCCAACTGCAGCAGATATAAAGCAAAATTAATGGGATGGTGGTTGGTCACTCAAATGATATCTGTTAGAAGAATAACAACTAAAAATTCTTTCCATGTTTCCCCCACAGAGAGAACATATGTTAATAATTATTTACAATAACCATCAGAAAACACATTTAACCAAATATAGAAACCTTTAGCTCTTGATTTCTTTGTAGTCATACAATTCAGTGATGTTCCATATTCTGACTAGCAAAAGGTTGATATGGCAGTGACAGGGAATGTCTTCATAAATTGGGATGGTGTACTTACAAATAAATCAAGAACTTTTGATCTTAAGCTAATGGCTACCAACTATGCTTAAATGATGAAATAGCTTTCCGATATGTCTTGCTAGAATCATAATAACGTGAATTTTCCTGACTTGAAAAGTTGTGTCCGGATTTGTGTTGTTTAAGGCTTATAGTTTTGATTTGGATTTCAGAAAGATCCACAAATGCTTTGAGAACTTTATTTCAATGACTTAGAAATAACAAGGTGATGGGAGTTATTTGAAATTTTATGCTCTTCTACCTCTAATTCATCCTCTCTCTCGTCTCTTCCAGTCCAACTTCAATCAGCATCCCTCTAATTTTGAACCCTTAAATCCCTCCTTCCAAATCCATTAGTCAATCTAATCGGAACACAACCTAAAAGCTTTTGGAACAGTGCACAAGGACCAAGACATAGCCTCTCCTCCCTCTTCCTTTCCTTTCCTTTCCTTTCATTTCCCATCAAATGTTCACCCATAAAGAGAACCATGACACCAGAATTGTTATTGACTTAATATATGCTTCATTTAAAATAGAAAATAGACCAAATTCATTAAGCAACCACATATAATAGATAGCAAAGTATTGAGTTCCAATTCAAGAAATTTATGCTTCATCAGAAGTGGAAAACATGCCAAATCCATTAAGCAACCACAGATAATAGATAACAAAGTATTGAGTTCCAATTCAAGAAATTCATGGATGTAGTATCAAGAATGCAATATAGATAATAGATAGCAAAGTATTGATCATCATATAATCTTGAGGCCATGAAATTGATAATTTTAAACTACCCAAAGAAGAAGCAGCCAGATAGAAATTGACTCACGCAGTGGTCTCTTGCCCTCCTCCTTGTGTACCAGTACTCACAAAGAACCCTGCAGGCACCCCAGCAAGCTTCTGCTCGTTCCACAAACCCCCTGTGGAGTCGAAAAACGCCTTCATTTGTGCTGCCATACTACCATACCTTGTTGGAAACCCAAACAACAACCCATCAGCCTCCACCAATTCCTCCACCGATATCACCGGAATCTCATCACCCTTAGGGGGAACTCTCATCTGCTTCAAAACCTCCGGTGACATCGTCTCCGGTACCCGGTACAACACCCCTTCAACACCATCTATCCCATCAACCCCTTCCTTCATCCTCCTTGCCAAAACCTCAATATGCCCATACATTGAATAGAACACAATGAATATTCTCAACTTCCTCTCGACAGTTCCCAAAGCCCCATCTTGAAATGGAGCTGTTGCATCAGTACTAGGGTTTTGACCCCCAATTGGGATTGACCCATCTCTCACTGGGTTTGGTGCATCTTGATCAGATGCACCCAAAGGTGCCCTTTTCTTGCTTGGAACACACCCTCCTCCTTTACCCATAAAAGATAGATATTTCTTGAATCAAAGGACGACCCTTAATTCTATCTGCTTCAAAGAAGTTCTTGGAATTGCTATAGTGTAGTTAACTTGTTGATTCAGTCAAATAAACAAACGGGTGTTGGGCAAAGATAATTGTGGACAGAAATCAAACTGACGAATTTACAATTGGGCATCCAAATCTTCTTATTCTTTGGAAAGATGAAGGAAGCTTCAAGCTGTCTTGCTCTATCTGATGAGAAACAAGACAGCATAGGATTGACCTAATTGCTGAGTTGTGAAGAACTTTTGACTCTCAGATCACTGACTGGCATTCGAGTTCACATGAAGCTTCGCTGGCAGTACAAAGGAAGAGAAAATTACGATTTTCGATTAAATCAGAAGTTCAGAACGGTAATTCAGTTAAGCTAAAAAAAAAGTTATAAAGAAAACATTTGATTGGGACAAAATAAACATTTTTCTCGGTAAGTAGGGCACAACGGACATCATAACAGTCAAGAGGGGACTAGTGATTCAATAGGTAAATTATTATTCTAATTTATTTGGCTGGCTAATTATGAAAAAATTAAATAAAATTGGCACAAATTTTTATTCAAATTTATATAAAAAAAAATTGATTAGTCTCATTATGGTGATATTATTTTCATTTAGATAAATGTAGTAAGATATTTCTAATTTTTGAACTATTACAATTTTAAAGTATTTAAATATAAATATAATGGATAACGATACTCTCGGGTCTTGCACAATTTGAGTTGCCATTAGCAAAAGCGCTCACCTATAAATATAAATACATATATATTATCAATTTGAAATTTCATTAAAAGAATATGACAGTATATATATATATTTATACTTGTTCATGGAATGATGATGATAATAGATACTATACTTTTTTAATATATGGATTCAAGATGTGAAACAACTTGTACGTTTCCTAACTCTCAATGGTAAAATTGTCTGCCTTCTAAGTATCTAATTCTTAAAATGTGACTCATCGTAATCTTTTGGAAAGATATATATATATATTTGACTCCTCCAATCACCCAATTTTCTTCATCAAGTATTGGAATACCTGAAGATTGACAAGTTATGAAGTACGGACACTCCTTCCAGGGGTCCCGTATTCGTGTCCAATACTTTTCGAATACTGACACCCGTGTCCGAGGTTTGGACACATGTCCGACACTTCTATAAAGTGTCCAAATATTATTTTTTATTGGACACGCGTGTCCGAGGCTCGGACACACGGTCCGACACTTTTGTGAGACAAAATTTATTTTCTCACTCCTCTTAGTCTCTCATATTCTTCAATTATCTCTCTTCATGAACAAGATATATATATATATATATAAAAGTTACATGAACAAAACTTTATGTCTCTTCTGCACATCTTCGTTTGGAATTTAGATCAACTTTATTTTTCATTTATTTTCTGTTTTGTCTTGTCTATATTTTTCTTATAACAGAGATGAAATTATTGAAATTGATTCTGTTATTTGTTGTTGTTTTATTTATCTGTACAAGATTCTAGTAATTATATTTTGAATATATAATTATATATATATATATATATATATATAGATATAGATATATATAATTTTATAGGCGTATCCCCGCCGCATCCGTGTCTTATTTTTTTGAAATTTGCCGTGTCGCCGTATTCGTGTCGTGTCGTACCCGTGTCCCGTATCCGTACTTCATAGTTGACAAGCTACTTTAAATATATATATTGTTTGCATGTATTTGAAAATGGTTTTTTTTTTTCCTTGACTTGTCTAGTTGTCTTGAAAATGAATTTTTACTATTTGGATTTTGTATAACAAATCAAAATTAATGCCCTACAAATTCAAAATTATTGAAATGAGCATAAGGTTTAAATTTGAGATTTTGACTCCTTTCACAATTATGATCCGCTGAATGGAGAGAGTTATTTAGTCAGTTGCAGATTCATGGTAAGAGAAGTGCTACCGACAATCGCTCCACACTCTTCTTTTGTGAGTTCATAAATAATGCAAATTCAAGATAAAATGAGTGTTAGCGACATTTGCTCCACAGTCGCCATCTGTGGAATCATAAATAGTTAAGATTCATAGGAAGTGAATTGCTAGCGACAGTTACTCCACACTCGCCTTTCATGACCTTTAGTGACCGGATAAAAATAAATCATAACAGCTATGATTGATTTTCAACCAATCACAACACCTAATCTGATTATTTATTTATTTATTTACTGTTCCTTGATGGATTATAGGAATGTAGGTACTGAAGTTATTGATATCAGAGCAGTGACCAACACATTTAATTTGTATTAGTTAGACATAATTTTAAAGAAGCCCTTAAGGAGGCTTGATCACACTGAGAAGCTAAGAGGATGCAAAACATATCCTACAGTAACAAATGCAAAATCTAAATTTTTTTTTTCAAAAGACAAGAGTACCAAGGAACACAAGACCTCAATGACAATTTTTTGAGCAATGCAGCATTTTTTACTAGGTTCTGCTTCTGCTATGACAACATGAGCTTGCACATCCAAAGCTGTAAACCACTAGAATCATAGGACTATCTTACAAAGACAACAAGCATCATGTGACAATCATAAGAAAGAAAAAATCTATAAATTGAAGATGCAACTCTAGCGCTGTCATTCAGATGAGTTTCATGGATGACGAAAGATTAGCTCCTGGTTGAGAGAGAGACTTGGAGAAGTATCAGGTTACGAATATGACAGTCTTCTTACACGTCCGTCAAGGACTCATTTCTTGAATTTTTTAACTCCCATGGTGGTAGGCAGCCTTTATAATGGGAGTGTAGGATCAATGAAGATATTGATACTTCCCTCTTCTGCTGATGCATTGAAATGGATGACAAACAACTGAAGGAGCTTCTCAGTCTCTTCTTTTCACTGTCATAGCCTTGGAATTTTGGATCACGTTGAACGGCAGAAGCTTTAAGGGACCCCGGGAGTATGCAGTTGCAGGATGAACCTAAGGGGAACAAGAAAAGTATGAACTTAGAATGACCTGTAATCACCACCAGAATCTAAATCAATTTATCCAATGAGCAGGTACTGCCTTTATTTCAGGATTACTTGAACTGTGGAATTGAGTGGACAATCAAGTAAAGACCTTTCTAATCCTTTAATTAAATGAGAGCAAAATAGAATTATGGGACCCCAAATTTTTACTACTTTTGCAACTGTTTATAATATATATGGGAGCAAAATAAAATACAAGAACTCATCCGTATTAATTAATGATAAAAGCTCAGACTGCCAAGCGGAAATTGTGGTCTTAAATCTTGGAGCAACCACTTCATGAAAAATCATATTTAAGGTTAACCAGCCTCTCCCAACATTCTGCATCTGTGGCATTTTCCAAGTGGAGGGGCTTTATACTTTTTCTACCACTATAGAGGGATGCCTTATCCATCATCCTTCCCATCCCTCCAACTTTCCGTTGCACCAAATGATGGAGACTTGCTCCATCCCTCTTCTCTTCCCTCGCTCCCTTCTCATTCCTCTCTTCCTACCAAACACGCCTTAAGGTATTGCCTTTTGGGGATTTCAGACTCAAGTTGAGTCGGCATATGTGAACTTTATATGTGCATGAGAGAGGGAGTTTAATTGAAGAATAAAGTCTCATTTTAATTATTGTAGTAAAAAAAATCTCAATTTTAATAATAAATAACAGTACCGAGAGACATTGAGAAGGTTCTCAACAGGTACAGAAACGGCCAATATTTTGAGGTTTAGTTGTTCCTGAAGGCCAAATGCCCCCCAAAAAAACCTCAAATATTCAAGATAATTTGAGAAAAAAAAATGAATGAAGTAAAAAACTTTGTTCAAGTCAAATCTTGTAGCAAAATAATGTTGTTTGGCAAGAAAGACTTCAAATGAAATACCTATTCTTGCTAGTCGATTTACCCATTTTGGAATCTGGTTCCCGGTCAGCTTGTAACACATATCCTCACAGAAATGATTGCAATTCTTCACAACCATGTGATATGTGTCGCCATTGTAGTTTGCAGACTGATACACCATGAATTCTCTGAACTGGATAGGGTCCAAGTTTGTTGTTCCCATGAATATTGACTTTCTAAACTTGAAGTTAGGGCATTTCCGAGGTTCAACCTCAAAGACTCCAGTTGTTGGGTGGTCATGGACTCCAAAAGCATATTCCACACCGTTAACTGCAACCATGCATATGAACAATAAGGTTTTTTATTTAGGAAAAAAAATAGAATTTTTTGCTTTCATTGTGCGAACCTGCCTTCTATAAATATGGAAGGACAAAGAAAATTTTCCAAAAAAAAAAACTGATTAAATCACCAGTAGTTGCCCCAAATTATTTCATAAACAAACTTTATTGGAAGGATTACTGAATTACAACATTCAAAAATTATATTTTCAATACTTTGCTGAAGGAAAGGGAGTACGGTGCTACACAGATGGATCTAAACCATGATTTACAATTTATCAGTCACTGTTAGGACTTGATTTAGCAAATTCAGTGATCAAAATGATGATTGTAATTAGTCCAGTAAAATGTTCGTGTGGATTAATCTGTGTCAGTTAGTCAGACTTATTGGTGTGACTTGTTGCCTACACGAGAGACATAGTAGAGCAGGTAGACCCATTGCTTCCTATGAGGGATAGTAGTAGAAAATGAGCTGGTTGCCGATGACTCGATGAGCACTATAGAATGAGGAGGGTTACAAGGAGCAATTACTTTTGAAGTGGAGAGTAGTGGTTGGTAATACTGTAGTAGAGCCTGGATTGATGGGAATGTCATATGTAGAAGTAAATCAACGGCTACTGATTTTGGGATGAATCAATAAATTGGCAGTAAAACTGTAGTTCTTTGCACAGTTGATTGGTTGGTATCTAGACTAGGTCAGTAGGCCCCGTGATCATTGATTATTTGAATAATTATGCATGCATGATGAATAGCTAACTGAATTGGATTAAATTGGTGCTTAAATTTATGGTCATTAGCATTCTCCACTACCACCATCATGTCGTCGTTATTGTTGATGCTTGTGTAACTTTTAATCCTGAAATGAACAGTATAACAATATTCACGCAATTGCCCAGTGTATGTCATGCCTGTGTGAGGTTTCTGGAGGGAAATACAGGAGATAAACCTATGCTTTTGTGTTATTTTGGACAAAACAGCTACTCTAAGACAGATCTGCTTCCTCACACTAGCTAGCATGAGTTCTTACCATTGCACCATGAAATTGACCCCCATGTATAACGACATTTAGTTCAAAAATAATCACATAACAATACATGAACTTGGGAAGGGTATATCAGCAGTTCAAATTGGCTTTTAAGTTTCAAATCAACTACAACATATTGAACTACAATCAAGGTGACAACGTTCACTAGCTGGCTTCATTACCAGCTTCATGAATTTATGGACAGAGTATGATATGATTAGTCTGAGAATTATTTCAAAAACATGCTGACTTAAGAGTTCTAGTTCTTTTAAGAAGAAATGAAGTGGTCCAGAAAGTTAAGTCCCGACACAATTATAGGGGTGCTTTTTAAGAGAAGAAAGGAAACTTGTTTTAACCAAAAAGAAAAGAACTAATGTTCCTTTTCATGTGCATAACAATCAATTAGGTCTAGTAGCCATCTTAAGGTTACACTAAACGACACTCATGAAAGATTGAAGTAGAGCATAGAAAATATGGATTTTATCTCTGTTTTAGATACGGCCACGTGTAAATAATGTAGCTTATTATCTTGAGTAGATGTCAAAAAAGAAAATTTAAGCATCAAGAGCTAATTGATCCTGGACACACGGAAGTCTATGCCAAGTGCAACCCCCTAATTTGAAAGGTCATGATCAATAAAATGCATCAACATAAAGAGGTTAAGCTAACCTTCCACCCCAGTGTGGAAAACACCAAGGCCTGCCCAATAGAAATAGCCATTGATGGGTGTCAAGTCATACACATTAAGATAAACAGGTGTTCTTCCTGGACTAGAGCTTGCTGAATTCACTTTTGGGAACATACAACAGGGGATTGACAAATGAAGAGGCATGATTGAGCTCCACCCACTCTTTGATCTTGGTTTCATGTCGTAAGGGTGTAACTGTGTGAAACTAGGAATCAATCATTGCTTAGTCCCAACCTGTAATAAACAATATATATATATATATATATATATATATATATATATATATATATATATATATATAAGCCAATCAATGTTATTAAAAAAAAAAACATAATGACTTGACAATGTATAAAATTAAAATTGACAAACTACCAGTTTTGAAAAAAATAAAAATAAAATAATATTAGAACTAAATAAATGTCAATAATTTTATTTCTATTTGTTTCCCTAATAACAAAGAAAAACTAAATTGACATTCAGTTGTACCAAGAGACCTAAAAGTTTTGCAACAACTAAAGAATTCTTTAATCAGTAAAAATTCTGACTTGAATGTAAAACAAATTCAACTCTGACAAAAACTCGCACAAACACATTGCCAGTCCATTTCTATGCTCATATTTATCTTCAAGTAATATTGCAGTTCATTATGCAACTATAACCAACATTATTAATGATATATATATATATATATATGAATGTAGTACAGTCCTTCCTCTTTCTCCAGATCGAATTCATTTTTAAACGATGGAATTAGGCCGAAAATTTACGGCCAAGCAGCAGTCTAAAGTTGACAACAACTGCATAATGAAACAAACCGTTCTCAGTTTAGGTGATCTATCCAATTTATGGCTAGGTTTAACCCCACATTACTAATACAAGTAAACTAGGCATCTTCCAAACAAAATTTTAAAAGATTATTCAAAGATTTTGACAACTGAACATAAGAAATCATCCAGTATTTCAACCATTTGTTTTCTCCCTTGGGGATCAGAAGCACTAACCCTTGGTCTATACCTCATTTATGTGGGGGCCCAACTTGCATGACATATTCCTTCATTGCTACAGCATCGTCAATTTTAATTGCATGTTGCAGAACCATGTTACCAACTTTTTCATGTACGGTAGCCATTTTTTGTCAAAGATCACACAAGCGCATCGATTTCCGTTATGTAATCTACTAATTTTCTTTTCCTCTCTTTCTCCACCAATCCTCGAAACCTTAGACCTAGAGGTTCACCACACAAGCCAACCTTTAAGCCAAAGAGGCCATTAGAGGACCGGTATCATCTAGTAATTTTCTGCTCATTCATCATGGATTCTTAGCAAACTTCTGGAATTGTCCAAATAGAACGGAAGATGACCAGACAAAATGGAATAAAACTACTAAAATGTAGACAGTTGGGCTAAAATTTGTACAACACTATAATAAAAACATATAAATATATATAGATATATATATATATAGGCTTTGCATAAATGCTAATTTCATACTTATCTCTATCTCTATTTATGCGCATTGACAGCATCAGACTCTAGGCTTCCTATTTCTAGACAAGCCTAATTATCAGGCAATTTGTTCGTGACTCACCCTCTCATCAGACTCATCACAGTTGTAAGGCAATTCACAGTTTGAGATGATGATCAACCACTTTGAAAGATTAACAATTCCAAATAATAGCACCAATCCATGAATAAAAACAAAAAAAGACCCAAAAAAAAAAAACAACGAGATCACCAATACTGTAAAGGGATGTCCAACATTTAAAATCAATAAAAAAGAAAAAGGAAGAGCATTAACAAGTTCAAGAAAGCAAGTCAGATTCATAAGAAAACCCATCAAATAAATGAATGAAAAGAAGGGAATCAACTAATGCAGCTTACAAAAAAGAAACACAAAATTTTGAGGATTTAAGCCAAACCCTTGAAAGAAAATTGAAAATCAGAGGGACCCACTTACCAAATTGGAGAAAACACCCATCAGATCATGAGATGAATTGACTCACAACCAAAATGCAATGAAACCCGCCATTCTCACACCAGAAAGAACACCTGAAACCACATTGTTCTAACATATACTTTCAGAGTTGTGTACTGAAAACCACTGTTAATTTCAAAGCCCCGAAAAAGAAAAAGATAGAAATGGAAAGAGAAAATCTTTGGGATTTAAAGGTGAGAGGAAAAAAAATCTGTGTGTTGAACACATGTCACTTCTGTTTAACAGTAATGCTATTTACTACACGTATTTATTATTCCAGATTTCCAATTTATAAAGTTTCAAACCGCCAACTGTCAAGTTAGAGGTCTTTGTCCGTTTACGACGTCGTATTTGTAGCTTTGTGCTTTCTTTCCAAATAAATTGGTCAAATAGCCAGTCATGAGTTGCCACATAGACAGAGCTGCCATCTTGTCTGTTTACGTGGACCATACTTAACTAAGGGTGCAAGTTGGGCAGACCCAACTCAATTCGGTACCAACCCAAATTCAACCCGTTGTGGTCTAATCTAAGGAGCACTTTAACACTTTTAGTTAATTGTTAGAAAAAATAAAAAGAAAAAGAAATGGCAGTAGGGTCTTATTTTTCTTGTTCATTATTATCTCAATTTTATAATTAAATGAGATGTTTTCATTTATTATTGGACCACGTCAATGTAATATCTACTCAATTATGCAATACATTTACATTTTAAGAATATAATATTTTTATTTATTATTGAACCATATCAACAAATATCTACTCATCAATGAATAGATAAATATTATCCTATCAAAAGTATCAAAGATATAACAGTTGCGTAATGCATTTACATTTTGAGAATGTAATACTCCTGCAGTCGTTAAATCGAACATATAATACCATTAATTTTTTATTTAATATTATTATACGAAAGTGTTGCGATTTAAAGACAAGGACAGACACTAAACCCTAATTGGTTTGTTCATGCAAGTTAGTGGAGAGCATTTTGAATCTTGGTGGGTTGGCAATTCTTGGCGTATCTAAATACAGAGTGGCAAGACTTATCCGTTGACCGTTAATTCTGCAAGTCATGTGAGCTATTTGACTAATGCTATGTCATGCAATTGCATTTCATATAATAGAAGTCAAATAGTTCATAAAATTACGTATGACTGATATATATATATATATATATATATATATATATATATATATATCAGTCATACGTAATTTTATGAACTATTTGACTTCTATTATATATATATATATATATATATCGCATTTCATAAAATATAAGTCAAATAGTTCATAAAATTACGTATGACTGATACATATATATATATATTAAAATGACTGCGGTGTCACAAAAATATTCTCACATTATAATTGTCTTCTGAAAAATTTATCACACAAGATATTCATGCACTCCTGTTTCGAAATGTGTATTAATAATCACTAAATCCTCATCACAGAAGAAATACTTAAAATGAATTGTCTGGTCTTTTTATTGATCATCTTTATCAAATATAAAAAAGTGAAGGATTTTATTCCTTTATATTTTACATACATTACCAATCAAAATTTACAGATCAGACAATTCACTTGAAATAATCAGCCTAAGAATTATTTTTCAAATTGATTATTTTTTTTTATCAAAATTAATCATCTTGATTACATTAAGCACCAAGTATATGTCAATATTTAATTATTGAATGATACCACAAGTTTTATCAAAATTGATTATTTTTTTTTATCAAAATTAATCATCTTGATTACATTAAGCACTAATTAAAGAAAAAATAAAAATAAAAAATAAAAAACTATGTTAATTCCTGTATAACACGAGAAAGCAAAAAGATCAAAATTAAAGTGCATCTAAGTGATGCAATGATTAAAAAATAAGTAGAAATGAAATGAGGGAATGTAAAGAATATCTGAGTAATTTGACCATCATACAGTGAAAAGTAAATGAAATTCAAATGTTCAAACAAAATGTCAAAAGAGGAAAATTATGTTCCCTCTATTTCCTTCCACTTTTGAGACAAAGCCCAATGCTGGTGGGACCAGAGGGGAAAGCCCTCATCCATTCCTTTCCATTTCTCCCTCTCCTCACAAACAACCCTTTGACTTTCCCTATCTCTCTCACACACACACACACACACACACACACACACACAGAGTAAAAGACAAAAGTATTATTTGGAATTTACAACTAAACACCCCATTTACAAGCTCATTAAAGCCAAACTGGCGAAGCATAGAAAAAGATTTCTAGCTCATGGCTTGATCCAGAACTTGCTCCATGTGCCAAGAACAATTCCATTTACATATGCAAATTAAACAAACAAACAAAAATCATATTCTAATAGGAGAAAATCTGCTAATTTTGAGAGAAGAATTCATTCGTCATCATCCGATTCCGTATTATTCTGTACTCGTGTTCTTGGGCCTTCAATCATACCATTCCTTCGCTTTTGCACTGGGTGAATGATATCCCTAACCATTTGGTTTGCTGATTCAAGAAAAGAAAATACATGTAGAAACCCTTATATACCATTTCAAAATCAAAAAATTTACTGTGTATGACACACCATGGTGAATATAATAAACCGCTTCGGAAACATTAAATATTAGAAGTCCTTTATATCAACTGAAGTAAAATAATCAAACAATTTGCAGAACCAAAAAAAAAAAAAAAAATGTTCTTTCTTAAAAATATGTATATTGAATAATAATTACCATAGAATAATACAAATTGAGGTTTAACATTTGATGTGGCAACAAGAGGCAAGTGGTTTCCATCAATACCTGATACCATGAGCTTCATAGCAAGTGTCCTTGCAAACCGAATTTCTGTTTGATGCGTGGTGATAAATTTAGACTGCAAGTCCAGAAATCTATGAGTAGCTTTTTTTGCAACGCATAAACAAAATACACAGCACATATGATCAAAGTTACATTCTAAACTCCAACAATGAATTAAGATATTGAATGACATAAGAGACACCAAAACACCAACAGCTTGCGTGTCTAGCACAGAGATCTTTTGGTCCCCTAGGTTTCTTTACTTTTTTCTGTGAAGTACTACATTTGCACCTTATAAATCGTATTTCCAGTAAAATTTGACAAGGTAACCTAAGCTAAACAATCTGCTTCTGCAAACAGCAACATGAAAGAAATAAGAGGTTTTACCATTTCACCATACAAAGATCCCACAATTTGATCGAGTCTATCTTGATGCTTCAACAAGAACGGACGAAGATGATTCATGTATAAATGGTTTGCTCCCTGTTAAACAATAAGCAGTAGGATGAGCATTTATAAAGGCTTGACTAAGTCCTCAAATTGTTCAAAATTCAGTTTTCAGCACATCAAAGCAAAGAGAACCTAGTGCGTTGGCAAAATACATTAAGCAAAATAAAATGAGAATCAGTACTTGGAGAAGTAGAACTAAAAAGGCAATGGAATTATACCATAAAAGGCACTTAGTAGGTTTCCCTTTTAGCTGGTTCATGCTTTGTTTTGGAATTATACCATAAAAGTATTATCAAATTAATCCTTCACCATTCCAGTAATTCTCAAAATTCATTATCATCTAAATCACATGAAATATATCAAGCAACCAATTTATAAAGCAACAAGCGCGTGTACACACACACACACACACATGTAATTATACCATAAAAGTATTATCAAATTAATCCTTCACCATTCCAGTAATTCTCAACACTCGTTATCATCTAAATCACATGAAATATGTCAAACAACCAATTTATAAAGCAACAAATGTGTGTACACGCACACATGTACACTTTGGAGTGATGGACCTGCCAGTTCCATAACACTGATTAAGTGATCGAGAATGAAGAAAAATGAAATAAGGAAAAAATAAAATAAAATTTTCTGAAAAGGTGAAATAAACTCATGAAATCACACTAAAAAAACCCTGTTAATGGAACTTTGATAAAGAGCACCAACAACTATTGACTAAACAGTTTTACATGTCTTTGTGTGCGTGCAAGAGAGAGAGAGGTTGAAAGGCCCTTTAAATTTGTTATATTAAAAGCTGTCATAAAAAATATTGCATCACCCTCAAAAAGTATCAGAATGCAATTAAAAAATATTGTAAATTCCAAGTATTTCTTTGTGAATATCCTTCAATAATGTCTTGTTTCAAGATGCTATTCGCCAACAAGAATACTAAAAGGCTATTAATACCCTTTTGAATTTAATAAGCCGAAGGGGCCAGGATTTACTTCCAAACCAACCCCCACCAAAAAAATAAATAAATAAAATAAAATAAATAATAATAATAATAAAAAAGGAGCTGGTTTATATAAAGGGGAAAACGAGGAAAAATAATAAATAAAGAAAATGAAGAACACAGAGCAATGAAAGAACAATGTAACTTAAAATGAAATGTTACATGTTGGACAAGGTAGATGAAGCAGATCCTACCAGCCAAAAACTTAGGGAATCATATGTATGCAATATAACAGGGTGGTTTGGGTAAGCAACCAAAGGAACAAAATATTATTATTAAATTGAAAGGGGGGCACTTAAATTAGGATGTTTAAAAGCTAAAAGTTACTTATCCCCTTTACTAATTCACCTAAGAAAAGTTGGACTCACGGACATGGAACAGAATTCAACAATGCAAAAAGTAGCTGCACAAGGGTCTTTATTGGACATTTGGACATAGCTCAAGAAAAGTGCATTGAAAGATCCTTGGATACAGTTGAGCAACATGTATCAAGCAAAAGGTTGAAAATACGGGTGAGGTTGATTGACAATAATGTTAAAAATAAAAATGTCAGAAGGCAAGCACTTAATCTAAATGCGATAGGACTCAGAACTCGCTAAAACTCTGAACCCTACAAAAGAGAAATTTAGCTGTTAATCACAGTATATTATAAACAGACCACCATGACCATCAAATTACGTTCTCAAACTGCTAACATGACTGGAGAACCTAATGGGATCACCAAAATCCTGCCCACTGAAACACTATATAGATAGTGATGGAATGTATTTTCCAGTTGATGCAGCCCTTTCTTTTTTAAGAAAATTGTATTGCCCAGTGGAAAGTAACAGAATAAAATTGAGCATGTACCCTTCACATGCCAATTTCAAAGGGCAGCCCAGTGAGGCTCGATCTGCTTGCTAAAATAAGATGGATTAAATCACATCATAAAAAAGAGTGTATTAGTTTTAATTTAAGCCTATGGGAGAAGCATTTTAAAGACAAATTTAGAACCTCATCTGATCTCAACCTGCAACATTCTACTGTGTGATCGATATGTATCAAGAAAAAATTAGCTCTTTGAAAATAAAAAATAAAAAAAGCTGCTTGTCCTGATATTGTGAACCATGTGTCAAGTACGGCTGGAAGAATGTGTGATGATCAGGGACAAAATAAGAAACTAATTCTGAATCCTTCGTACATTGTAAAATACTTAAACACAGGACTTCCAGCTAACATATATATACACACATATGAAAAGCAATTTTATTAAGGCGAAGGTATGACAATTCAATCCTGAAACTACCATAAGTATAGCGTCATAGAGTAATGCATGTAGGAACTAACAACAGGAATTAAACCAACCATGAATTACTACGAAAATTGAGGGAGGGGAGGAAGAAAAAGAAGAATAAGGAAAAGGGTAAAAAACTTCAAGCTTACATCAACAGATGGAAGTTGAAGCCAAACAAGAAATGCAAACTTCATGTGATAGTAGAGTGGAATCCTGATGAAAACAGACAAAAAAAGCTTCGTGAGACTGCAATACCACACCAAACAGGAAGCTAAAGTCCCCAATAGACTATGCAAGAGACATAATAATAATGACAGGAAGAAAAATGCCAATTTGGGACAGAAACAGTACCAGGAGATAAGTTTGTCTGCAAACATTTCTGCAATACTAAAAGATCCGTATGCTGCAAGTAATGAATGGTCTTAGCAGAAAGCATAAAAAAAAGAACAGGACATGTAATAAAAAGATAGCATTATTTCCTGGTGGAGTAAAGGCAGTAGCTTTATGCCAAGGGAACCAAGGTTCCCTAATGTATTTAACTAAGAGCTTGGCTATCTGTAGACTGTAGATGCACAAGTACAACAATTCATGGAGTCCTTGCTATTAGCCTTCATAAATGTACACTCAACTTCCCAGTACTAGTATTTATAAACATCAAATGCTTGTTCATAAATGTTTTCCATTCGTAACCTCTAAGCTGACTTCGACTTCTTCAAACTGTAAACTTTAAAGAATACATAAATAAATAAACATATACACACATATATATATGAAGCATTCAAAATTAAATTGATTTATGTTGCATAGGAACAAACCACAAAACCTGAGTATGAATTTGTTTGGCCTTAAATTTTTTAGGCGTTGACTCAATATTATAATAACCAAACCTATCCTTATTTATAACCGAATAAGGAAATCGGTCCTAAAATGAATTCAGGCAATTGTAGGAAAGTAAGGACTACCACTTTCCTTTGGGTTCTTCAATGCCTCAACAAAGAGGACTTTTTGACAACAAAAAAGGAACAGATGAAGGGAACAAGAGAACTGCACAAGCATTTATCAATTCCAGAAACTTATAAAATAACATATGGAGGGGACAAAATCTTTTATTCCATAAGTAGAATTCCAATACAATGTTACAAGCAATGGAATTATGATCAAACTAGGACACTACTCCTAAGGAAATTACAGAGTGAGAAAAATACAAGGAAAGGAAAGCAATATGAAACTTGCAGATTCTGGTCATGGACCTCTTGCACAGGCAATTAAATGGTAGTTCAAACCAATGTCTTCTTTAAAATTCAAATAGATGGTGTCCCTTCCATCTGTTATTTTATAAGTTCCTGGAATTGATGAATTTGTGTGCAGTTCTCTTTGCTCCCTTAATCTGTTCCTTTCTTGTTGTCAAAAAGTCCTCTTTGTGAGGCATTGAAGAACCCAAAGGAAAGTGGTAATCCTTACTTTCCTACAATCACCTGAATTCATTTTAAGACCAATTTCCTTATTCGGTCATAAACGAGGATAGGCTTGGCTATTCTAATATTGAGTCAATAGACTCTGGCACGCCTCAAAAATTTAAGGCCAAACAGAATCTGAATTTTAAAATTTTCAAAATTATGAAGAATTATTCTGTTTTGTGCGTGCAATATATAGTTATATACATGGTACATAATTTTATTTTTTGGGAATAAGAAAAGACTATGGCACTAGGTCATGCATCAGCAGCCTTCTTCATGTTTTCAAAACAACTCGCAACCATGTGTGACGCATAAGCATCAGTAGCTCAACAAAACCTAGAGTCCTTTAAAATTTAAATGCACTAGAAACAAAATTAGAGATGTTCTGAAAGGATCTTTTAACATGTACTTTTTTTTTATATAAGTTTTAACATGTACTTGTTTAACTATTAACAACACAAGCCTGAAAAAAATCAAAATAGTAGATGACTCATGATCCCCAAATACCATGATCTTTGCAAATTACGGCAATAGATTACATAAGTGGCAACGGAATTGCTAACCTGCCCAGTACACAAGCCACCTTTGTTGTTCATTTTGATCTTTTGTCTCAATTGCTTTAAAGGTAGAGTAAACAGGTAAAACAATCCCCACAGAGCAGCTGTCATATATTAATAATGCATTAGCAACCAATATCAGATCTTAAATATCTTTATAAACTGGCTACACACAACATATATTACTTCAAGAAAAAGAATTATCAGAGGGTTTTCAAGAAAAATGTCATGTAAGCTGATATAATTGAAATATCAACAAACGAGCTCTAGTGGTAGTTCAAAGTCTATAACAATAATAACAGTAACAGCAGCAGCAGCAGCAGTTGCTTTTATTAATAATATTTAACCGCGTCAAAAGAAATCACATAAATAAAGGCTGTGCAAGTTATATCACCAAGAATATATTGATATTTAGATACAAAATTCTTAATGCAAAACAAATAAAGAAAACAAGCCTCAATTCAAAGCTTACCTTGCTGTCCGAACAACAATGTTAGAACCAAGTGGGCAAAGAAGCAATCGCAACCCAACCTGCATTTGCTACAACCGATTATCAATAATGAATCTCAATATATCTATTAACTGGAAAAAGATGAATCTCAATATATCTATTATCCGGAAAAAGATTAATCTCTATATATATATTAACTGGAAAAAGATACATGGACAGGACCAATTACCAAAAGATGCATAGATGATGCATCAATAGATTTTATTCACTTACAACTTGCTATACAAAACTCTAAAAGTATAACATTTAACAATAACAGCGAGATATGCAATTGAAATGATACCAACATAAACACGACAAGTACTTAAAAAGCACAAGGTACTCAATTGTTGTTGTATTAAGCCAATAGTACATGAAAAATAATAATGTATAATTTAAATATAATATAACAAGAAATTACAATAATTCATTAAATAACTTGAAACAATTATCAGGACAAGTTACTTCAATGCTTTACATTACTTACATGCAAGATCATTTTTACAACTTATTTATATGCAACCCAAGTTTGTTCTTCAACCCGAATCGACAGTTCAGAATTCATAAAAGCGAAATGAATCAGAACAAGCTCCAAGTATTATGATCATTTTTAATTTTTCAAAATAATATGCTCAAGTAATATTATATATTCAAAAAAAAAAAAAATTTTTTTTTTTTACAGCCAAAACTATGTAGAGAATTAGTATTTTCTTGCCCAAACACAGAGGACTAAAGGTAAATACATTATATTGGTAAACGATCACTGCAATCTGACCGTGCTTTTTAGTAAATCAACAGCGAAATTCGCCCAAAAATTGAAAGCTATAATCAAAATTAGTACAATCAAATCCTACAACTAGACTAGTATTTGCGAGAAAATAACAACACGGGTTCGTTTTCTTGAATTGGAATTATGTTAATGTGTACGACCCAAAACAAGCTCCCGATTTAAGTTACAGAAAAAAAGTGCAAGTAAACTAAAACCTAATCAGAAGAAGGAATAGATGGTCTAGAGAGAGAAACAAAGAGAATTGAGAGAGAGAGAGAAATTGATTACCTCGCTGGACATATTTGATCCGAACAGAGCCATTAACCGGAGAAAGAAGCTGTGATTGATACGCAAAAGTTCTTCTAATAGTTGCTGCTAAGCAAATAGGGGACTCACTACGCAAATGGTCCTAAGAAACCAAAACGGCGACGTTTTAGTGATTTGCAACTCCTCAACACGCTATTTTTGTTTATTTTTTATCGGTTATCTAAATGGATTTAGATTATCTAAATGGATTTAGATTATTACTACTCCGTATTATTATTCTTATTTAGATAAAGAAACATGTGTGTTAATAATAATGTTTATGTCTCACACGATTTGAATTTTTGAAATTAAGACTATTCAAGTTGAATTTTTGAAATTAAGACTATTCAAGTTGAATTTTTGAAATTAAGACTAAATTTGATAGGATACGAGTTATGTTTATTCCAAATTCACTATCTCTAGGGCTAATAAATAAATGTGATGAAATTTTTTGTGAATGGGAATAAATTAAAATTTTCCGAGTTTTAAGGACCAAAATTTAGGATTTATTTTTTATTTTTTATTTTTTTGTTTTGTTTTGTTGGTGTGTGGACGATGGTGTCGAGTCTCTTAAAGCACCTAATAATTTTCAACCGGATGCATTACAAAACCACTGTTCTAAAGGCATCATAATTAAAATTTTCAAATTTGGAAAATGATTTGCAGTTCGAATTCGGACAAAGTAATAGTACTTTTAGAAATTAATGGTGGTTCCATCGACCCTGCATGCCAAAATCATGCTTCACATATTCACTTTGAACAACAATTTCTATCCCCCAAAGCATCCTAAGATCAATTGTGCTAGCATATTGACATTAGATTGGCTTTAGCTCTAGTTTCTATCTGCTCTACATAATTTAGTTCTGCAGTCAAGCCAACTAAAATACAATAGATAGACTCTGTTTCAGAGTGAGATCTATCACCAGAGGTGAAGATATGAACTCTGTTCCCCACATTCACCCAACTGCAACCAGCATGCTTCTTCACCTCCTTCCCTCTCATCTTCTTCCTTATTCTCCCCATATCAATCCACTTCCCGTCTGCAGCGTAGACATTAGCCAACTGCACATATCGCGCGCCATTATCTCCTTCAATCCTCAGTAACTTCTCTTCTGCCTCTCTTGCAAGTTCTACATTACTGTTTATTTTGCAAGCATTCAGAAATGTTCCCAATATCACAGCATCTAGTTCTATAGGAATATCTTTCATAAATGCCGCAGCCTTTTCTAGTTGATTAGCCCTCCCATACAAATCAATCATGCATGCATAGTGATCAATTTCCGGTGATATGCCATGGTAGTTTGTCATGGAATGGAAGTATTTCTCACCCAATTCTACTAAGCCACTGTGACGGCACACTGAAAGAAGTGCCACAAAGGTGACTGCATCGGGTCTGATCCCACTATCCAGCATTTCCTCAAAAAGTAAGATAGCTTCTTTTTCACAACCATGGTGAGCATAACCAGCTATCATTACATTGTAAAGGATTGCATCTCTGTAAGCACCAACTCTTTTGAAAATTCTTTGTGCATACACTATATTCCCACATTTTGAGTACATATCAACAACGGCGTTGATCAGTTTCTCATTCATTTCAATTCCCATTCTCAATATGTAAGCATGAATTTGTTTTCCAGGATCGATAGAGGCTTGTATTGCACAAGCGCCAAGCACGCTAACAAGTATCAAAGCATCAGTAACAGTGGCATCCTTAGTTTTGAACTCGTCAAATAGCTCAAAAATAGCCTCACATTGCTGGGATTTCGTGTACCCAGAGAACATAGCAGTCCAAACAACATGATTCTTCTCAGCTAATGAATCAAAAAGCCTTCTGGCTTCTACCATGTTAGCTTGAAATGAATACCCCACAATCATTGAAGTGATTGAAAAGGAGTTTTGCATTATTCCAATCGCTGCATGAACTGACTCGGCATTTCTCATTTTGCCACACTTGCAATAAAGATCAACAATGCCACTGCTGATAAACGGATTCGAATCCAACCCATGTTTCAAAACCCAAGCATGCACCTCCTTTCCAATACCTAAACACCTTATACTGGCACAAGCACTCAAAACAATCGCAAAAGTGTGCTCATTCCATCTAACACCATCCTCTGCCATATGACAAAACAACTTCAATGCCTCCTCTTCATACCCATTTTGTGCATAACCCGAAATCATTGTGTTCCAAGAGACTGTATCATTTAACTCTGATTCACTCCAAAAAACATTTTGGGCCTTTTCCAAATCCCCATCCCTACAACAAGCCGCAACCATTGCATTCTTCGACACCAAATCAACCACTCCACCGCCACATCCATTATAAGCTAGACATGCTTCTTGAAAACACTGGCATTTTGAATACATATCAATGAGAGCACTCACAGCAAACTTACTCCAA